CAGGGCTTATAGTTTTAAATCGAGACCTCTAATTTCCAGCTTCAGCCATTTCCAGCTTCAGCCGCGACAATAACTTAGGTCCATTTTTAATGCAGTCAATTATTAGACTCATTATAATTATTGTATTAATATAAATAAGAAAAAAAGTTAGTTTATCAACTACTGATTCAATGATTGATGCCATATTATCGTATTAATATAAAAAAAAAAAAATTTACCTTATAGTTAATCAATAATTGATGAACTAATATAAATAAGAAAAACATTTTTATCTTTGCATTTTTTCAATTTTTCAATAATCATCATGGAGCCGCGACAATATAATTTCCTGGATTGTGAAACTTTTGATCGAGTTTGGGGAATTTACGTTAGCCAAAGGAAAAATAAACGTTGTTTAATGGATAGGTGTCGTTATAATAAATGTTTGGATGTATTAAAAAATAAAAACCTTCCATGGAACCCAACTTTTAAATATTGGGTTATACACACTTTTAAAATCCTTATTAACGGTACAAAAGAAGAGCTTCATTTAATTAATCAAGCTGGAAATCATTTAGGGACACAAGTTTGTCCGGTTGAAAGTTTTTATGAGGTAATTTGTTCAGCACATCAAGCAACCAACCACGGGGGTCAAGAGAAAACATGGAAAAGGTAAATATTAATTTTTTTTAATCGAAAAGTTACATAATAAATTTAAATTTATTAATTTAATTTAAGATCCGTGTTAGATACTGTTATATTCCGCAACAAGTAGTTGAAGATGCAGTCCGTGAGTGCAGAGTTTGCATTACCAGGAGATCCCTTAAGAAAAATTCTCCAATTCGTCCGGTTGATGTAGAAGGTTTTTTAAACCATGTACAAGTAAGAATTTAATTTTTATTTTTGTTTTATTTAATAAATTATAATATTAAAACAATCTATTTTGTAGATTGATACAATTGACATGACTTCGGTACCTGATGGAATATTTAACTATATTTTTCATATCAGAGATCATTTCTCAGGGTTCTCTTATGCAGAACCATCAAGATCTAAAAGTGCTGAGGAAGCTGCCGCATGTTTATTTAATTTTTGTTTACTATACGGCCCACCTTCCATACTCCACTCTGATGACGGTGATGAATTTGTTGGAAAACTTGTTCTAGAAACTTTAAACTTATGGCCAAATATTAAAATAGTTCGCGGGCGACCCCGAAATCCAAATTGCCAAGGATTAGTCGAAAAGGATAATGTTGGCAATGATATTCTCCAGTCTAAACTAGAAGCCTGGATGAATGGAACCAATCGAAGTGATTGGAGTATCGGTTTGAAGTTCGTTGTTTGTAAGCAATTTATGTGTAATATATTTAATAGTATGGTGTGAACCATCTAAAGACAACAAAAAATGATCTATTATACAGTTAATCACCTAGTATGCTCCTTCAAATTTGTTCATATGACTTCACATAACACCACTCAAAAATTTTATTACGCTTTTTTAAAAATAGCCACTACTCAACAAATCATTGAAATTTTGTAAAAGCAATACTTGGTAGATATTACTCAGAAATATAGAGCTAAGTATTATTTTGCAAAATTTGGAATATTCGTTGAAGAGTAGCAAGTTTGGATGCACTTAGATAGTTTGCACCATATTACATCTAATCCTTGCGAAATTTTTATGTTATGCATATAGGCTTTTTTACAAAATTTTATTTTTATTTTATTTTTATTTATTTTTATTTATTTTTATTTTTAGGGGCTATGAATAGCCAATACAGTACTGCGTATAAGACCATCCCTTACGAAATAGTATTTGGACAACCTCCACGTCGTGATACGAATTTAGCCAATTTATTTGAAACAACTTTTGCTACCCACCAACTGAAGAGTTGAGTTTGTTATCAGATAGTCAAACTCTAGTTTCTGAAACTGATTCTCAAGAATTGAATAATGAAATAGAAAGTTCTGAAACTGGTTCAATTTATTTTGAAGAAATACGACAAGACAATAGCGATGTGAATAGTAATACAGATGAAGGAATAAATAGTAATGCGGATGAAGTAAATGGCGTGAGTATAAATTTTATTTATTAAATTATAATTTATAATAAATTAATCAATGCACTAATCGGTTATATAAATTACAGAATGTGAGTATAAATTTCAATAATATTTATTAATATTTGTTTGTTAAATTATAATTTTATAGTGAATTAATCAATGCACTAATCGATTACAGAGAATGAATACAAAATTCATTAGTGATACGGATGAAGAAATGTACAGCAATATGGATGAAGATGAAGCGCAAGAAATGAATATACAGAATAATTTTCTTCAAGATTATTCTGAAGCACGAATTACTAGTAACGAAATTATTATTATTGACGATTCTGATAACGATTCTAGTGAAGATCAACGTTATTCTGCGCAAGAAAAAGAAAAATGGATGGCATATTCTGATATTGATACTGTTGAAAATAGATCTGATCACAAGGTATAAATCTTTATATATATATATATATATATATGTATGTATATATATTAATAAATTTGTGTTATAATTGATAGCAACGGGTACTGTTAAGTAATATATCAAATATAACTCGTCGAACATTTGTACAGCATAAAACGATTCGTCATTCAGCTAGAATGCAGCAAAAATATAGAACCAGACGTGATCGAATATTTAAGCCGGGTGAATTAGTGAAAATTCATATTCCAAACATTGATAGGCAAAAAATGGACCATCAACCTTTACCCTGCAAGATCATTCAAAAAAGGCCCAACCGTGACTCGTATCAAGTTGCTTGCCAATTCGGAATATTAGAAAACTGGTCTTCGGCAAGTGAACTTGAACAATTGGAAACTTCTGATTATCCTTTAGTGGATGTGGTCCCCTTAAATAACATAATTTCATTGAGGCAAGCCGGTACGTATTAAGCAGAGATTATCCCAACCTTCAAAAAAACAAAAATATTGATTAAATAATATCTAATTTATACATAGTGAAATCTAACGATCAGATGAAACAAATGGAGCGAACATTTTTTCCAACTAAGAAAAGACCGTTTCAATTAAAACAACTCAAATAATTTAACCTAATTGTTGTCATTGTCAAAAGACAACTGTAACATTAAAGTTTATTTTTGTCAAAGAAATAATTTACTGTGCACAAGACGATGTGGTTGCATTTTACGTGATGAATGTGAAAATAGATAATTTTTTTATTTCTTTGCTTTAAATTTATGATCAGAACATTTATGATAAGGCTATAAGACTGTAAGGGTAATATGCATACATAAATTTATCTGTTTGTACGCCACATGGCGTCTCACAACTATGCCGTCAAGGGTTTTTTTTAAAAAAAAAAGAAAAAAAAAAAAGGTGATAACGTACGTTATTTTTAAAGTTGTATGAAATATCACTTTCGAAGAGACATAAATTGAAAAATGAAGAATAATTACACTAACACTAATACATCAATAATCATAAATTAGCAAATTAAGAACAAATAATGAACTATATGTGATTGTCGTAA